GCTGCTACCGCCTCTGCTCCTGCTGCTCCTGCTGCTATCTCTGCTGCTGCTGCTCTTGTCTCTGCTCCTGCTGCTGCTGCAACTAAAGTCGACGGCGTTGCCAAGTCTCTGGCATTAATATTTGATTGCTCGGCGTACCTCATTAGCATTAACAAGCGCCAAGCTGGCCCAAATATGCCGTCTGCAAGCAGCTGACATATTAATGTGCAGGTTAAGCCAACAACAACAACAACAACAACAGCAGCATTAACAACAACAACAGCAGCAGCAGTGGCAGCAGCAATAACAACGTCATCAACGTGTGTGTGCGTGGCTTTGTTTGATTACAAAACTCATAAAGTCGCCATGAAATTCAAACAATGCGCTACGTGCATCGAATGCCAACAGCCAGCGGCAACCGCACGGACAATGTCTGGCCTGCCCAGCCACGCCCCCATCGACCGTCGTCCTGCATAAACACAACATATTCGTTTGACCCAAACGAGTTAGAGAGACGTCGCTGCGCACAAAGGTATCGGCCTTTAATACATTTTCATTATTGCAAACCCATTTGCTTGGCAACCGCCGCAAAGGACTTGCTCCTGCTCGTGCTCCTGTTGCTGCTCCTGCTGCTGCCAAGGGGTCCTTTCCAAATGTGTGAAATACAATTCGGGCAATCAAATCAGCTTTGCCAACTTTAAAAGTGTATTTTCTTTTACTTTCCTTTTTCTTCCTTATTTTTCCTTTTCGCTTCTTCGACCAGCTGCTGTTGCCCTAAGCATGCGGAAGACGCACAAAACGATTTGTCAAAAGTGGTTTTTCACTTGTGGATTATGAATACTTTGCTTAAATTTAGCTGACAGCAGAAAATTATTACACAATGATTAATATTTATTTGCGCTGCCCGCGCCCAAACACTGCCCATCACGCGTGGGTGTGGCCGCCTTCGACTCCGACTGCGAGTCCAACTCGGAGTCCGAGTCAGAGACCAAGTCCATGTCCTTTTTCACACAGCGAGTGACAACGTGCTGAAGGCTTTCACAGATACTCTACAGTCTGTGGGGCACTTGTGTGGGGTATTGTGGTTTGAGAGAGTTGTAAGAAGAGCACATATATAAAGCAAAATGTTTTAGATGGTAATATATGAGAGTAAAGGCTGGCAAAATATTATACATAGTTGATATTTGACATATATATAAATATATATATCTACTATATTGCGATGATTATAAAATTTCATTTGATATATTAATTCCGCTTTATAATTCTTTTGCAGTAATCGTATGTAAGCTTAGTTCATGAAGCTCAGCTGGCGTTTCGATTCCTGCCCCATCCGCATGCGGTCATGTTTAACATCTTATCTTAGCTCTCTTCTCTACTCCTATCGCACCTCATTCTCTCCTCTCTTATTTCTTCTCTGTCTATTTCTAACACTTTTAACCTCGACCTCTGCACTTTTCCATACAGCTTACATTTACTCTATCCAAAGGGTAACTACTATTCGTTGTCTGTCCGATCAATTCTCTCATTTTTTTGCTGTGCTCAAAAGGCATTTAATTTAGATTTATGCGCCGCAGAGCATTGTGACAGGCAGGCAGCTCGTACAAAACATAAACATAGTTACTTTCAGAGCGAGTGAAATTATGATATCGTGAGAGCCAGTCCCAGTCCCAGCTCGAGTCCCAATGCCTGCCCAAGAGTCAGAGTCAGAGTTAGAGTCGGAGTAAGAGTCGGAGTAAGAGTCGGAGTCCGGCATGTCGACTCAGTCAAGTTTTAGCCGCAACGTTTGCTTTTGCTCGGCTGCTTGTTTGCTCGACCGCTGATAACTTATCGAACAATAAAATAGCCTTAGGCCGTCGCAGCTGACAGACGAGCGGCTAAGGACTGCGAACTGCGGACTGAAGGCAGGCATGGCTGTTTCCTAAGTCGACACAAGGCAAATAAGGATATGCGCAAATAAAATAGCAATAAATCAAAACCTCTGACGATCTGACGACGGCGATGAGGCTGGCCCTAGCGATTAAGGCCTCATAGTTGTGATTCCAGATGCCTTCAGATGTCTCCGGCGACTCTGCCTCCTGTGCTGCTCTAATACTGTCTCAGTCCCTCCAAATAAATCGTCTGGGGGTCGAAAGTGATTTTGATTGTTATTTACTTGACTCAAGCGACGTCCGCTGCCCGCTCCACTTAGCCTGCCCCGTAATTTTCAATTTCAGCGGCAAAATCTCCTCCTGCTCCTGATGCTGCTGCTCCTGCTGCTGCTGCTGTTCATAATTTATGCCAATTGTCAGCCAAGCTGCATGCATGACAGCCAAAAATCAATGCAGCGGAAGTGCCAGAGCCGCCATTTTGCACCGCCTGCCAATGTCAATAAGGAAGTTTCATTATAAATTATCCGGCTGACAAGTGAAGTGGGGGCGTAGTCGACGACGAGCGCATAAGAAAAAGCATTTCCTCTTCGCTTTAACAGCAGCTAAAGCTTTCAGCTGACACCTCCCTCCCCCACACACACACTTAAACACACCGGAGATTGTTTCAATCTGCTTAAGCGTCCAGGCCAAGTCAAGTATCCTGCCGCAAGGCAATCAGGCATGCAACCCATGCTATTTTCTATGCTCTCCCCAACCGCCAGCAGGGCCACCCACAGTTCCGATGGCCATTAAAAACGATTGTTGCCTTAAAAATTTTGTATAATTGGCCAGGCACAGCTGAGGGGGCGACGTAAGCCACACAAATCGAAAGCAAACATCAACTCGTTAAGGCGAGAGCTCTATGTAAATAATGCAGCACTTCAGTAGAGAGCGAACTGCATGCAGACTTGACCACAATTAGATGGGATTACTTGATGTAGAAGACTCGTTGGGGCAGCTATAAATAATCCCTTAATGCTATTAGCGTCGTTACATCAGGTAAATATGACAGTGGAGCGAAGCGTCGATTAAGCCAGCGCTCCGCGTTTAATGGGGGCCACTTGAAAAAATATTAAAAACGAGATGTATAAAAGTGAAAAATTCGAAATGCGTAGCAGCAGGCGCACCCGCCTGCTTTATTGGCACCAGCCGGCCAGAGTAACCGGGGTGGCAGGAGTCGCAGGAGTCGCAGGAGTGTGAGAAGCAGCTGGACATTAGCTTTTTGGGCTGTGGAGGTGGGGGCCATTGAGGATAGCGGGCCCGGGTTCCAGTTATGGCCAGCATTATGCTCCAGCTTGTACATGATATGGCGTCATTAAATACACATTACCATGCAGCACGCTCAGCCGTGGGCGACAAGGGGTGGCGGGGGGCGGTTGGCTGTACTCGATACAATAACAGCAGCAATAATAAGCAGCAACAGTCGCTGGCAGCGCAGCGAGCGAGCAGCTATTAAAAAGCGCCAGCAGAGATACACACCAACACACACACACACCCACACACACACACGCACTTGCGGTGCCACCCACATTCAGTTACAACAAATTACAGCATTTCGACAGGCAGCAAATCGAGGAGCGCCCGTTCGATGGCCAACGACGGTGTTGAGTTTCAATTGTGCTCGTAAACGTGGCTCCCAATTGGCTCCCAGCGAATAATTCATATAAAACACTTTCGCACCGAGCGCCGCCTTCCCATTAGCATCACGTTGTTACAGCCAGCTAGCCAGCCAGCTAGGCAGCCAGGCAGCTAGGCAGCCAGGCAGCCAGGCAGCCAGGCAGCCTCCTGCTTGCCTCCTTCTTCCTGCTGGCTGCTGCCTGCTCGCTCACCTGCACCCACACTTCTGTTTCGGTTACGCGCCATGTAACCCCACGATTGCATTTACAGCAAATTATTTATGGCTGCGGCAGACACGAACAGGAAGCGAGTATGCGCTGCCAACTTCACGTCTATCAATATTTTATGAAACTCTGTCTGCAGGACTCACAGAGCCCAGACCCCGCCTCGCCTCACCTCGCCTCATCTCGCCTCGTTGCCGCCGCAAACAAGGACAAGGGTATCAGTATCGGTATCAGCTCACTTGGCCTCCTGCTGCCAGTGGAGCACTCCCAGCTCCGCTCTCTGTCTCCAGCTGTCTCGTTCTGTCTTCCCGGCTGTCTCGCTCTCCGGTTGCCTGACTGCCTGTCGATATCCGGTTAGATGAGTATCTAAATTGCCTTTACTGTTGATGAATTAGCGCTGGTTGCCGGCATCGCTCCTCATGCGGATGAGGCCAGAGCCACAGCAACAGCAACAGCCATAGCCACAGTCTGAGCTGCAGCAGCAAGAGCTGGAGCCAGCATGCCTGCGCCCGTTAGATAAGTGCCCTCAATGCCAAAAAGAAAATTTCAATTTGCTTTGAATGATTATATAAATACCAGCCAATAGAGTAGGCTGGCCACGGCTCGCTCGAGCTTCACAGTTTTCAATAATAGTTGCACAAATAGCAAAACTCTGAATAGAACTCATTTATATGGCACGATAAGATAAGAGGGGCATCAAATCGAATGAAATGCCATCAAATCTACCCATAGAGAAAGCGGAAAACTTCAAATATATATGTACATGTAGCCTGTATTTCATTAGCACAAATTGAATGCAGATGAATCGAAGATTGATATAAACATAGCAAATATTGCTAAATATTGCTATGAAACTGATTTCTGAGTAAGTGCTGTTAGTACTCCTAGGCTTATTTAGATAAAGGCTCTTCTTTATTAATGTAGCACATGACATAGATACTATATACAGCTGATATACGCCTTTCTAAAGATGGTCTATATGCACATATATCCTATCATCCACCCATAAACTTTCTCAAAGCTATAAAAACTCAAAGTTCAATGTTTAATATGCCAAAGATTCAAGATATATTATATTATATAGAATTATATTATATAGAATACTTTCCAGCATTAATGTAACTATCGAAGATCCACCGTCATTCTGCGAGTTCTCACATACCAAGCGGGTAATCACTCCTTGATTCGCTTTCCTTTATATATATGTATGTATATTTCGAATATATTCATTGGCAATTATTACTTCGACTTTTCACTCTTTTAGATGTTAAAATAATATATTTACATAAATATTAAAAAGAACTAAATTCACGGTCAATGGCCCATCGGCTTCTGAATACGCTCACCAAGAAGCATGTGGTGGGGATTGTTTTGCTTATAACAGCGGTGGGTCTGCCTAACCATATCTCTATGTAGTTGCTCCCAATACTCATCGTTATAGCCGACAGGTGATCTGCATACTGAATGCAGCAGTGTTTGGCCACGTGTTGCCCACTTCATCGAGCTTTGAGCAGCTGGTGCGGCAGTCCATCAGCGCGAGCACCGGCTACACTTGCATCCTCTACGGACTGAGTCCTTGGCTATTTAATTCGCACTTTGCGGTGCCCAGGCGGCACATACGCTATGTGGTTTGTACTCGAATATCAACTTCCAGAGATCGCCATTTTAGTATACCTTCACTTGACTTGCATTCATTTAGCTCATTTCCATGCTCATCTTCCTGATTCTGGCCAATATCATTGCGCTCTCGACGGTGATCAAGACGCAGTACATGGTAGCCGGAGAGGAGTCGGTCAACATCCTAGACCTATATACACCCTTCGAACTCAAGTGTCGCATGATAACACTGGTGTCTTTTGTGTTAACAATTGTATTGCTAACAGTCGCCTTGGTTTTAGTGATGCTGATCGCTCTTGCAATCAATAACTTGCCCGATTTTACCCAAGAGCCCAGCAAAGTATCCCTACCGTAGAATGGGCGCCTATTACAAATTGATTGTTAAGCATATACATATATATGTATAAGTATTTTCATATCGTTTGAGCATAAAAAAGACTGTGCTGAAGATTTGAATATATTCCATATATAAGACTACATTAACATGACTCCAGCTCTGGCCTTGACGGCTCGTTGAGCAATATGTACTGCATATTAGGTATATGATATTTCTATATTATATGTCCAGCTATCTGCAACATTTATCTAGTCATCTTAGTCAATTTTCTAATCAAACTCATTGGAGTAAGTACAAGGTTAAGGTAGCTTAAGAAAAAAGTATTGGAAGTACAGGAATTGTTATTAACCATTCGCTGGGCATGCGAAACAGGTATATTTCCTTTATATATATGGCTTGTAAATATTATTATCTATGTGCTAGAATCGCCAGGTCTCACAGCTGACTCTAGACCTGTGCTAGAGTATTGTGCAGTTGCTTAAGCTCGACTGCAATGTTTTCACTTGCCTTGTTTTTCGTCTAATGCATAATGAAGTGCGCAGACAGTGCAATTCTCATAGCGAGACAAACAAGGTTACGGTGCAGAATATCAACTTAAAGATACCTGAAACTTGCCAGCCGGAAAAGTTAAAGGCAAGTTGCCATAGGCGTTGGCCAATTACGCAAATGGTCGACTGACTTCTCGGAAAGGGGCCACATCAAATGTGACATTTGGCAGCAGCAGCAGCAGCAGCAGCGGCAGCAGCGGCAGCGGGGCTTGCAGTTAAATTTCCAGTTAAGTTATTGCCGCGAGCAGAACTCACTCGAAAGTAATTTCAAATTTAATTGCGTATAATTTAGAACGTCGAAATGTTTGCGTGCGTTTAATTAACTGAAAAATAAAAATAAAAAGGGAAAGAAATGAAAACAACAACACAAGTCGAATGAATGAAATGCCCAAAAGCAGCGAATGCCATTGGACGGAAAATGAGCAACAACAACAACAGCAACATCTATAAAAACATCAGCTGCAAAATGCTGAATGTTAAATGCCAACTAATTAAATTTCGGGCATGCCATGACAGTCGATTCCGGATGTCGAGTCGCGGACCCATTCGTTGCGTATACGCAATTTATTGTTGCATTTAATGGGCAGCCCATGCGGTTGTCCCTGTTGTTGTTCTTGTTTTTGTTGTTGCTGCTTTAGTGCTTAACACTTTTATTGCGTATACGCAGTGTATTACGAGTCTAAATGCCATTTGTATGCAAATAACGAGTCTTCACTCGTCTAGCAACACACACACACACCCGCAACCACAAAAACAACCATCAAGCTGACTGCACCACATATGACCGGCTGGTTGGTTGGACGCTCGGTGTTCAGTGCTCGTTGGCCATCAAATGCCAAATGAAGCCAATAAAAACTAACAGCGAGTGCCACTAGCCACTGGCGTGCACAGCTGCCGGCACCACACCGCACCACAGTGCACCACGGCGCACCACACTCAACTCTATCCGCGACCACCTGCCAAATGCCGTGAAAAGTCATGCCACGGTAACTGATAACATTTTTAATTATGCTCCGCGCATTAACACGTTATAATTACACTTGCTTTTATTAAATACAAATTTTGATTTCATTTAAATTAAATGCAATTTAAAATTTCATAATTCAAATGAATGCAAATATTTGTGCATTTCAAACGATTTATGGCAAGGTAATTAAATGTCAAATGACGATACAGTTTTTTGCTCTTTATGTGGGAATTATCTTCATAATACTAATTAAAATAAAAAAGTAAATTCAAAGAAAACAAATCGAGAAAACACTTTAATAATTTTTTTTTTTTTTATATATTAAAAGAGAATAAAATACATATACATATTTAATGTCAATGCAATTCAATTTCTATATATATAGGAATTAAAAGGAATAAATGTATATAATGCTCTATAAATATTATTTTTTCATATCGGGAAAAAATAAAAAATAAAAAATTTGTTTTTTATATTTGTTTGAAAACAAGAAAACATATTTTTAATGAAGTTAATTGAAAAAAAAAAAAAAAATAAAT